TAGGGGAGGGTGGGGGTAAGGGTGAAAGATCAACCAAAGGACTTACATGCAGGCATATAGGCGGGCATGAGCAGGGGGGGTAGAGGGTAACATGGGGACAAGGACACATATGTAATATCTTAATCAATAAAAAATATATTAAAAAAAGAATATAAGAAGCGATAGCAGTTGGGGGGTGGTGAGAAATTTAGTTTTATCATACTGGAGATAAAAAAGACAAATTCTGGAGTGCTATTTTGCAGTCATACCCATAGAAATGATTGGTTTAACTCTGGAGAATAGAAGAAACTATACAGAGAAAACTGTAATGTTACCTATACCAATCCTATGAATAAGGGATAGAAATTATTTTACTTAACTCATCATTCAGAAGATTGAGAGACTAGAATCCTATACAAAAACCACCTTAAAAATACTGCTTTGCAAAATGTGTCATTCTTCTTGGGTAAAGCCAATATAGTGGGTATAAGAACTAAGTGAGAGCAGCATACATAGACTAAACAATTATTCAAATGGCAGAGTTATAAGTAGGAATTAAAAAAACACACACACACCAAAGTCTTAAGGAGGGAAACTACTATTCTTGTTTCCGCTCCTCCACAACTGGTTAACAACTGATGAGCAACAATTCATCAACTTAGGAGGTAATACTTATCAAATTCCCTTTATGTAATTCATTAATAAGCTGCCTTTATCCCATTAGATGTTTCACAACTGGAAGGGATAGATGGCTTCTACCAAGATAGAACTGACACACATTCTAGCAAAAGTCAGTGATAGGATCATTTTGTCTAGTAAAAAAAACTACAAAACCATGATGTTTTTAAAAATCTATGTGCCATAGAATAAAGCCCATTTAAAATCCTAAAGATATATCAATTTTGAAAATTCAGTAGATTCCATTTAGAAACAATTAGTCTTCATCTTCACAATATCAGATAACATTAGAACATGGCATATTTTCAAGATAAACAGAAACACTTTAAAACTGTCCCTACCCTTCCCACCCCTCACCCCACCAAATATCTATCAGCATATTCTAGAAAGCAAAGCTTCTTCATGCAAGTATCCACCAGAAGCAACCACCACCACTTGTTCCTAAAATAGCAATGAAACAGAAGGGCAGTGAGAAAGCTGGAGAGGTGACTAACATACTGCAGAGGGTGTTCTATAACTACTGGCATGCAGTGACCGTCAAGCAGGTGAACAGAATCATTGGCAGAGGCTACCAGCTAGAACCCTTAAAGGGGCTGAATGCTCCAAGCAGAAAGCCCAACTTCCTGGTTCATCTCAGTAGAGTTCTTAGTAAGAAAGAATTCTATCACCAAAGAAACTAAGGTTTGTAACAAAGGAAACTCTCAGGAACAAAGCAGCAATTACAAATGATAAGTTCTTCCACAAATAAAATATTTATTTAGGTTTTAGAGAATAAATTAAGCATGCTCCCTATTCACAGTAAAAAAAATATGTAGGTAGTACTTTTCAATAAAATTAGTTTGCTTCATTACATAATTCATCTTTAACTAATAATCATAAAAGAGTATGTCGTGCTATTTATAACTAAAAAACAAGGCACCTCCAAAATGGAGTTATTTTATTGTACCTAAAGAGAGGGGTTTGGCTCTAAATTATATATATTAGTGATATACAAACTGTTTCAATCATTTACAATCCTACAGTTTGGCTCAGTGTAATGAATCATTTGTCTAATTAGAGAATTGATAGTGCATTTTTCTGTGTTGTTTTTTCTTTCTTAGAATGTCAGTACTGTCATTTTAAAACTGGGTCTATCTACAACAAAAGATAATGAGAATATTCTGGAAATTAGCAAACATTTTAATAAACTCGATCTCTGGCACAAACAGCTTAAAACAGTTCAAAGATAAAATATTTAATGAGTCAAAAGAAGACCACTCTAAAATTTTCCTCCCATAAAAAAGAATGAGATCCAACTTAATTAAGGATACGCATGGTAATAATCTGCATATCACTCCACGTTTACCAGTGTAATGTTTTAGTACATAACAGACATACAGGGTCCTTTTATTGTGTATTTTCCAGGTCAATTCCAAAATTAACACTTTATATGCACAAATATATTCACACTTGCCCAACTATAGGGTGTCCACCCAAAATATATACACATACTTTAAATAATTATAAAAGCAGTGTTTATTAAAATACATTTCATTTTCAAAATTGAACTTACAGCTGTTAGTGTGTTTACATATTTTTTTGGGGGGGGACGTGTATATATATCTAATTTCGGTTGAGATCTGATGATAAAGTTATATTCTTCGTTGAAATAAAGCAGTTTTATTCAAGCCTAATTCCAATGTTATAATTTTTTATTATAACACAATTACATTACATACAAAACCTCTACTTGGCTAGGTTGGTCTAGGGAGTCATTTTTGGCATTGCTCATTATGTAAAATTTTTAAAAATCCATGTTTATTTTCTATTACTAAAAAATTAGGGAGGGAAAGCAACTTTAAATGCAAAAAAGAAAAAGAGAATACCATTTTAATTAAAAGCTATTGGTTGTCTAACTCTAACACATAACCTAAGTCACTAGCTCAGAGAGGGATCAGCAAACTATGGCCAACAGGTGAAATACAGCCCATTGCTGTTTTTGTAAATAGTTTGATTGGAACATAGCCACGTCCAGTTGTTAACTTATTGTCTCTGGCTGTTTTCACTCTGTGGTGGCAGAGTTAAGTAGTTGCAACAAAGACTACTTGACCCACAGAGTCTAAAATGTTTACCATCTTACCTGTTACAGAAAAAATACTTAAGGGTCCATGTTCCAGACCTTTCAAGACATAATACAGAACATTCCTACATTAAGTTAACCACAATGCTGCCTAATTTATGATTTGACATAAACTGCTAAAGTGCCTTTTATCTTTGTCCTATTAAAGTTTAGCTTATTTGCTGTGTTCACTGAGGTTTCTCATGTACAAACCATTATACAGGGAAGAAGCTGTGAAGGTTAGCTTTAGATTAGCAAAGACTATGCCCATCAGATTTGCTTGTTGCCTATTTTTCTTATATAAAATTACCATTTCGGAGTCACTGTGAGAGGCCTGACCCAGGATGGGAGCTGGCCCTAGCTCAGAGTGAGAAGGTTGGTCAAGGGAGAGAAGGGGCTCAATGTCATCGTAATCATCTTCCTCTGTATCCCCCTCCCCATCAGCAAAAGTACCTCTAGTCAAGAAATCGGAGCGCGTCCGCGCCATTCGAGCTTTCTTTTTATGGGCCGGTCTGGCAACCTGCTTGACCAAATGATAAAACAAATAACACAACAATGTTTTGTTTTGTTTTTGTGATGATGCCAATGAAAGATATCAGAGAGCTCATGAATTTCTTGAAATATCCCTCCACCCACAATGTACTTTCCACTAGAAGTGACAGAGATAACCAAAAGCAATCCATATACATTACTCTGGACAAAGGATGAGAATGGAAGCTAAATTTACATTGTTCTTCTCCATAGCCAAGGAAGTCATCTTCCACTGCCATAATAAGTCACAAAAATCACTTGCATAAATTGCCTTCTTTTTCTTAGCAACTTCTTTTTTGTAAATACCATCTGGGTTTGTAGACACCATTCCCTGCCTAAAGTACACCTCCCTAAGTAAGAACAAACTTAACTCATGGCTTCTATCTCTATAAACGCTTCAGATTAAATGGGTAGATGAGATGCTATGTCTACAAGAATAATAATTTCCAAAATAGCATGCATTGATTTTGCATAAAATATAGATAGGCAAAATTCCATACTTACCTCTCTTTGGCCCGGCCCAGTTAACTTCATAGGTTTCCAAATTGGTTCATCTTGTTTATGGACTTTAGGATTTCCACTGTTTAAGGATTCCCTGTTGACACTTAGAAACAAAAAAGCAGGATTACATTTCAATTCCTGGCAGCAGTTTTCAAGTACAGCATAAAATATACTTCCACAGCCAGGTTGAAGAATTCCAGCAAACTCCATACATATTCAATTCCCCCCCAAAATATCAAAAATTTTCTGATTATCACATTGATACTATTATCAAGAATTTATGGTTTTTTCAAGGTGGGGCGGCATAGGTGAATCTTTCTCGATCCTCCTCCCAGAACCAAAGTAGGAATAAAACTAAGTTGGGGGACATTCTCCCTGAATTAGCCAACTGAAGACTAGCTGAAGAGGAGACTTTTAAACAACTAAGGGCAAAAACCACCTTGAGACTGCACCTGTACAACAGCTTGCATGATGTGGTCAGGGTTGAGCATCACAGTCAGTCAGCCTAGGGGAGATTCCACCCACAAAGGGGACAACAATAATCAAGACCCAATTACCAGAAGAGAGCCCAAAGAACCCACAAAAGGAACATTTCTAGAGCATCCAGCTCAGGAGGTAAAAGAGACTGCACCACTGGATACCACAGGACACTTAACACGTTAAGCGCCAAGCCTGTTTTGTCTTTCCTTCCATTTAGCCTGCGATACCCAATTTCACCAATATGCTGGTGGCCAGAGACTGACATGGTCCAAACGAAAAGTATAATGTTAGTCACTGGTGATTGACATGGTGCTTAACGCGTTAAGGCCACCTCACAAAGCCTGGGAGTCATAGCAGCTATATCTAATACATAGAAACAAACACAAAGAATCAGCTAAAGTGGGGAGACAAAGAAACAAGCCCAAATGAAAGAAAAAAGGACTCTCCAGAAAAAGATCTAAATGAAATAGAGGCAAGCAATTTGTCAGACATAGAGTTCAGAATAAGGATGCTCAAGGAATTTAGTGAGAATTACAAGGAACTTAATGGGAACGACAAGGAACTTAGTGGGAATTACTACATCAGCATAAAAAAAGGACATAAAAACCCCAAAGAACCAGAAAGAATACCTTATCTGACATCAAAATATAAGGAATTAAAAGTAGGCTGGATGGAGCAGAGGACTGAATCAGTGATGTGTAAGGAAAAAAACAACAACCAATAAGAACAATAAAAAGAAAAAGAATTTTAAAAAACAAGGATAGTTTAAGGGAACTTTGGGACAACATGAAACATAACAATATCCGTATCATAGGGGTACCAGAAGAAGAAGTAAGCAAGGAACAAAAAACCTATTTGAAGAAATAATGATAGAAAACTTACCTAACCTAGTAAAAGAAAAAGTTACACAAGTTCAAGAAGCACAAGAGAGTTCCAATCAAGATGAACACAAAGAGACCCACCCCAAGACACATCAAAATTAAAATGGCAAACATTAAAGACAAAGAGAGAATCTTAAAGGCAGCAAAAGAGAAAGTTACCTACAAGGGCATTCACGTAAGGACATCAGCTAACTTTCCAACAGAAACACTTCAGGCCAGAAGGGACTGGCATGAAGCATTCAAAGTAATGAAAAGCAAGGACCTGAATCCACGACTACTCTATTGAGCAAGGTCATCACTTGAAATTGAAGGCCAAATAAACAGCTTCCCAGCCACCCCCCCCCCCCCCTTTGTGTGAACTAATATAAATTCAAACTAAACATCATTACATAAAAGGGTACGGTCTTTTTTTTCAATAGTTTTATTCATTTCAAACGGGCCGGATCCGACCCGCAGGCCATAGTTTGCCCACGGCTGTGCTAACCTGACAAGCTCAGGGAAGGCTTGCATAGCAGTCTTGCAAACTCAGAGACCTGAAATTAAACTTTAACTAAAAGCAGTTATGGATAGTTACATCCTAGGCCAGTATATTCACTGACAAGCTCAACCTTTAACTTAACTGAGCCTATCTGTCTTTTTGTATCTATAATAACATACTCTTGAAATGTCTGGGTAACTTGTAACTTCTCTTTTTCTGGACCTCTTGGGGCACAGTCTAATGTGCTTGGGCACCGGGACAGATACCACAAATTCCTTCATTGTTATCATGTTAATTGTTCCTGCAACCACCTAAGTATGTGTCTATCATTTTACTTTTTATTCAATCCCAGGGGATCCCCTCCCCCTTGCTTTCTCCTGCCTCTCTAATCTATCACCAATGGATTTCATGTAACCCATCTATGTCTCCTCCTTTGATTGCAATGTATAAAAATAGATGTAAGACCGGCATTCTCCGAAGCATTATCTCAAAATATCCTACATAATAACAGCCTAATATGCAAATCAACTGAACAGCAGAATGACCGGTGGAATGATGGGTCGCTATGACATGCACTGACCACCAGGGAGCAGACGCTCAATGCAGGAGCTGCCCCAGCCTGCAGGCCCCAACCGGCAGCGGTGGTGGGGAATGGTGAGCAGGCAGCGCCAGGCCAGCCAAGGCGGGTGCGAGTGGGAGCCCCAATTACCCCACCAGTCACCCCACCAGTCACCCCACAGATCAGCCCTGATCGCCGGCCAGGCCTAGGGACCCTACCTGTGCATGAATTTCATGCACCGGGCCTCTAGTATCTTTAGAAAAATCTATGAAGAGGATTCTGACTTACTCTAAATTGCAGGCTTCTAAGCAGGTTGTATCTTTGAACTGGATGAAGATTTATAGAACTTCAAGGAATAAATGAATTTAAAAAAAATACTGGCAAACTCTTCCAACTCGGCCACCGACATGCCATCCAGACTGAGGAAGACCTGAAAACTTCGGGGCCACATGAGCCATGGACACAGCCACATCGGCAAGCACAGGAAGCACCCGGGGGGGGGGGGGGGGGCGGCAGTGCTGGTGGCTTGCATCATCACAGGATCAACTTTGACAAATATCACCCAGGTTACTTTGGAAAAGTTGGTATGAGGCATTATCACTTAAAGAGGAACCAGAGCTTCTGCCCAACTGTCAACCTGGATAAACTATGGACCCGGGTCAGTGAGCAGACACGGGTAAATGCTGCCAAAAGCAAGACTGGAGCTGCTCCTATCATTGATGTGGTGCGATCGGGCTACTACCAAGTTCTGGGGAAGGGAAAGCTCCCAAAGCAGCCTGTCATTGTGAAGGCCAAGTTCTTCAGCAGAAGAGCTGAGGAGAAGATTAAGGGTGTTGTGGGGCCTGTGTCCTGGTAGCTTGAAGCTATATGGAGGTAAATTCATTAAAATGTCCAAGTACTTTTGTCTTCTAAAGGAAAAAAAAAACTGGCAAATAATCAGGATAAACAAAAATAACTATGGGACTAAATGAATTGAGAATAATTATTCTTATGACTGTTTAAAATATTGTTGATTTTTAAATCTTTTGTTTCCCAAATATAAGGAAAACTAAAAGGCAGACATTCTCATTATAGCAGTGGTTCTCAACCTTCCTAATGCCGCGACCCTTTAATACAGTTCCTCATGTTGTGGTGACCCCCAACCATAAAATTATTTTCATTGCCACTTCATAACTGTAATTTTGCTACTGTTATGAATCGTAATATAAATATCTGATATGCAGGATGTATTTTCATTGTTACAAATTGAACATAATTAAAGCATAGTGATTAATCACAAAAACAATATGTAATTATATGTGTGTTTTCTGATGGTCTTAGGTGACCCCTGTGAAAGGGACGTTTGACCCCCAAAGGTTGAGAACTGCTGCATTATAGGAACTAACAAATTAGTAACATTCATTTCACAGAAGACAAAGATTCAAAGACTACGACAACCTGGAGATTTTTGTCCATTGGAAAATACATTAATGTAAGACTCTCTCCAACAGTGTTAAAGGGACCTGACCTTATCAGGTACCTAACCATGAATGGACATTTGCCCCTGTCTCTGACACACACCTTCATCTCAAGGATGAGAAGCCACTGACTACGGAGGTAGTAGACAGCCATCCCAAGACATCAACAAGGCCTGTATACTCACAAATTGATGCTGCTCAACCTTGTTCATATATCACCTAATTGTTATTAATTAAATGTATATAAAATTTTTTTTATACTGCCATTATCTTCCTATGGTTTCCTAGTGGAAACAATATGTCTCCCTAGACCCCTTTCCCTATTAGACGTGAAAAATTTAACTTGGGTACCTGCTAATCTTTCCCACCTACTAGACAGTGATATTCTGATTATCACCTATGATAATGAAGTTAATGTTTTGTTGGCCACACACTAGTGGTCTTCTACTATCAATATAAGCTTTGGTGCATTTTTTAGGCTATCTATCTATCTATACTAATAAAAGCCTAGGTGACCGTCATGCCCTCACATCATCACAAGATGGCCTCCCCCACGTTGTCACAAGATGGCTGCCCCCACGTCATCACAAGACGGCCAGCAGGAGAGGGCAGTTGTGGGCAATCAGGCCAGCAGGGGAAGGCAGTTGGGAGTGAACAGGCCAGCAGGGGAGGCCAGTTGGGGGCAACTGGGCTGGTAGGGGAGGGCAGTTGAGGGTGACCAGGCCGGCAGAGGAGGGCAGGTGGGTGATCGGGCCAGCAGAGGAGCAGCTAGGCATCGATCAGGCTGGTAGGGGAGCGGTTAGGGGCAATCAGGCAGGCAGGCAGGCACAGGAGAGTGGTTAGGAGCCAGCAGTCCCAGATTGTGAGAGGATGTCCCAGATTGGAGAGGGTGCAGGCTAGGCTGAGGGACACCTCTCCAGTGCATGAATTTCGTGCACCAGGCCTCTAGTATATATATGAAAAGCCATCCACCGTAATAACTGGGTGACTGGTCACTATGATGCCCACTGGGGCCAGTGGACCCAGCCCCTCCCCCTGGCTGGCCCCACCCCTGATCAGCCTCTCCCACCTGATTGAGGGCAGGGCAGCTGGTCAAAACCCCTCCGCAGCCCCTCGCCCAGGCCAGCCCTGCCCCCCAGCCAGGACCCTACCACCCCAATGGGGGTGTGGTTGACCTGCAAACTGCCTGCAGCCCCTTGCCCAGGCTGGCCCCACAGCCCGGAGGGGTCCCCCACCCCAATAGGGGTG